TAAATACACGCCTGCTTCAGATCCACTGTACTATGTTGAAAGAGCCCATCACTCTTAGTTCTTTAAAGATTGATTTGAACAAGTCTTTTTTAGGTAACCTGTTTCAAGGCAAAACATTTAGACCATACTGCAATTATGCCGCCATTTCTCTCTTGCAGTAAAAGTAATGTTTACCTAATTTATTAATGTGTGAGATAGGCCTTGCACTCACTAGCTTTAAATTCAGTTTGTTTGTAAGATGTTCGTATATAATCTACATATGCGACAAATAAGTTAGTAATATAGTACGTGATAAAAAGTAATTCCTATTTTCAATACCTGTATTTTCTATACAAATCTGTAAATTTATCCTTTCATTCTATACAAATACGTTATTTAGACTAAAAAAACTAATTTGAACTTATTTTCAATCCGATTTTCATGCAATTTTCATCATCAAACTCTTGGGAAATGATTGTAGCTTTCTATATAGAGTTTATAGTTTTGTTTAAGCTTAGTTTTTTAGAAATCATAAAGGAAAGATTTTTGTCCACAACCAAAAAATAAAAACAAACAAAAAACATTTTTTGGCCGTGAAACTACTTCATTGTCAGTGTGTTCAAATGCAATGATCAATTAGAGGCATGCGTTTTATATGAATTAACGCTGCAAAGTCATAATGACTTTGGTCCCTATGGCTTACCCAAATATTGAAATATTGAAGAATAATGTTGTAGTAAAGTGTTATGCGTTGGACAATCCAATTATGGAACTTTGTTTTTGAAAAAGAACCCAGATTTCATTTAAGGGATAAGAACTGAAAATTCAACCTTCCCCAAAACAGGATGGAAAGGAATGTATTGCCAAATATAAACAATGCAGGAAATAAATGTATACAGATGAGCAAGAAACGCAAAAGGTAAAAATGACTATTCCGTCTTTGTTTAATAATATTTTATTGCATTAATCAAGCAATAGGATTGGACACAAGTTATCACAACTTATATTAAGTCCTCTCCTTACATATACAATAAACATATATGATGACAGCAAACACATCCATAAATTAGCGTCAGTAAAAAATAAAGGAAGGAGTCACACATTGGCATGGCAACATAAAAGCAAATAGGGCAGAAAGAAAAAAGAAAGCTGCTGACTTAGAACGTTAAAATCTTTTTGATTGTTTAATGAAATAACGAACTTTATCAAAATTTTTAGAGTTAGTTTCGTAATTATATGCATCTTTTCCAAACAATAGCGTTTCAATATCAATGTGTATGTTCATATGTATAAGATCATTAATCAGAGATATTCTTTGGTTATAAAATAATTGGCATTCTAGAAAGTAATGGATAGCATCCTCAACAGGAGAAATTCGAACCGCTGGAGCATTTAGAATCATTCACTACATTTATCTTATTTAAATCTGCATTTAATGAACTGCACTGGTGCTTTAGTCTTGTATGCAGTATATTAAATTTTCTAGGCCCTTCACCATAATATGTTGGTGGTCTAAATGGTTCACCCTTTATTTTTCGTTTAAAATGTGGGATAGTTGGTGCGTTTCTTATAATTATTCCATATTCTGACAGTAGATGGTACGAATGACTTTTCAGTTATTCGTAGTCTACATCTAGGGGGTATATACTTATCATTATTTCTTAGGTTGTGTTCACTGAGATCAGATGTAACTGGAGGTAGACATTCGATTAAATATTGGGGACAAAATTTATGATGCATTTGATAGAAAATTATTAAATATAAGGATTCTAAACTTGAAAATTTTGTAAGCCCTGTAACTATCCTTGCAGCTTCCAGTTGTATTTTTTCTAGTTTATTAGATTCATATTCAAAACACCCATCCCATATTTCGCATCCATATTCCAATAGTAGTCTTATAAAAGTGACATAGATATTGGATAAGCTTTTTTTGGAAAGTGTAAATTTTAGTTCCCTTAGTACATTTACCTGTTTTAATGCAGACTTTGTAATATTATCTATATGGCTGGTCCAGTTTCCATCTGATGAAAGTGTGACACCTAAATGCTTAATTGTGACATTTAACAGTTTCAACGTTTTTACCATTTAATAAAATATTCATTACTTGTGGTTTAACATTTGCAATTACCAATGCGTTGGTTTTCATTGGATTAAAATCTACCAACCATTTTTTGGCCCATTCATTTAAACTAAAAAGGTCTTTATTAATATCATTTTCAATTGTTTGACAGTTGCTACCAGAATATGAGAGAGAGGTGTCGTCTGCAAATAAACGGGCTATGTTATGGAGATTATCTGTAATGTCATTAATATATAAAAGAAATAGTAGAGGACCCAATACAGAGCACTGCGGAACTCCTGCCTTGATTTCACCTGGAGTTGAAGTTTCATTGTTTATAAAAACAACTTGCTGTCTGTTGCTGATATAGTCCTTAATCCAGTCTAATAGTTTACCAGATATTCCATGCGAAAGTAGTTTTTGAATAAGGCCTTCATGCCAGACTCTATCAAAGGCGAAGCCTCAGGAAGCTCGCGCGTTATTGAGAAAGAGATACCATTTCTGTCATTAAAAACTCATCAATAGCAACATACTTTAGAGTCTAATTTGTTTATTTGTATGTTTAACTTATTTATTATGTTGATTTCGAATCTAATGGTCATTAGTTTAAGCATGGAAGTATAATATAATACTTCCATGGTTTAAGAGACAAATGTCCAAACCAGTTACTGTAAAATATGTTTAAACGGACTCCTAGATTCGGGATAAAAACGCAAACGACAAAAAATCCAAACTTTCAGAGATAGTTAAACAGCAGAAAGTCTCCATTTCAATGTTGTCGTTCTATTAACTATTTTGACTTCATCTACTTTTCTCCCAATTTGTATACTTAAATTTCGTTAATGAACACACGAAATAATTAATTTTCATAGATGGTGTAATATAAAAATTCGAAAAGGGTGTCTCGCCTGGGATTGCTGCTGCCGGTGTAAAAGTGTAATGTTAACGGTTAAAAGAAAATCCATTTATCTTTTGCCTTTAACCAGTTCCATTAATTTGTTTATATTAAAATATTTTGTTCTCCAAAATTCATGTGTACACTCGGTCGTTTTGACGTTAAATCCAATGCATACTTTGAATGATTGAGTATGTCCTAAACGTCCAGTTGCAAATATGACACATATGTAAGACGAGATCCAAAGTGGGTCGACCGAGAACAAACGTTAAAAACCTTAAATAGACACTTGGATAGGATCGTACGTTGGAAAGAGGTAAATAGTATGTTTGACAAGAATAAAGTCAAGCCCTGACCTATGTCACAAGAAAAACTATAATGTGTATAAAGGGGGCCTCGGTGGCCGAGCGGTCAAGAGAAAAAACAAAGTAGTCCAACTACTGTATCACTAGCCTGTCAACACTGAGGTTGTGAGATCGAATCCCGCACGTGGCAGGTGCGTTCCAGTCTTAATTGACTAGCATTTGTCAGTTCATGCCGAAGGTCGGTCGTTCTCCCCGGGCAATCCGGCTTCCTCCACCAATAAAAACTGACCGCCACGAAATAGCACAATAGTGCTGAAAGTGGCGTTTAACACCAATCAATCAATTAATCAATATTGCGTAAATCAATTCCTATCGCATGCATTTTTATAGGTTTCGGACAGATTTAATCTCCAATTCCGTCTGATTTTTAACTGGAGATGAACAATCAAATTTCCTCACAAAATCTTATCACACACTATAGCCACGTCGCCTTAGAATCAGGGGGTTCGAAATAGGGATGTCAAAAAGGGAAGCAAAATACCATTATTTACAATTTCAAAGAATAAAAGTGCATTTGATTGTTCATCTCCAGTTAAAAATCAGACGGTAATGGAGTTCAAATCTGTCCGAAACGTAAAAAAATGCATGTGTAATATTGATTAATTGATTGATTGGTGCACACGAAATTTTATTACGTAACAATAATTATTGTTTATGAAGACAAGGATGGCAACTCTAGCCCGAAGTTAAAAAAATCATTTAAGAAATTATAAGATTACTCTTTGTTTGTGTATTAAGAATTATAGTTATGGTTTGTCTTTAGTTTTCTGTCCTAATATTGAAGCAAAATGTCAAGTAAAATTTGAATTATTATCATTTCTTCATAAATACGGTAAAACCAATGTTCTTTAACTCTGGGACTATTATTATAACTAGAGACTGTATATGTTACAGCCAGTCTTGGGAATAATGGGCAACATCAGTGAAGAAAAAAGAAAATGTCTTAATAATTAAAGAATATAGAAATGAAGATCCAATCCAGGCCTTTAAAGTATAATTATATTCTGTATATCCGAAAACTGGTTAATTTGCATTTCTTTTTACACACACGTGTGGTTCAATTCTTTTTACACACACGTGTGGTTCAATTCTTTTTACACACACGTGTGGTTCAATTCTTTTTACACACACGTGTGGTTCAATTGAACATCAACCTGTACACTGGACGACGTCATCATATTTTTATGAATGAAACAAAAGGTAGGAAAGGTTCGATTTTGCAATTCTTGCTTTTTTACGATTTTTTTGTCACAGTGAATTTTTACAATATTGAAATAGCGCGTTCTTCGGAAATTTGAAGAAACTTTACAGATCATGCGTTTTTCATTCCTTGAAAAATAAATAATTTTGAAGAAAAAACATTGAAATATATTTTCCACACGATCAACGCAAGGTAAAAACAGAAAATCGTATTTTTCAGTCTCATTAAGCTGTTATCAGTCCAATTTAACCCAAATGAAAGTTTTGAGTTAATAAAGTCAAAATCAAATATGACCGATCTGCCAATCAAGTTTTGTACATAAAAAGTCAAATTGACCATTTTAAGGCCAGATTTGTCTACCTCACAAAATCTTGTTAGGTACTATAACCAATATGTTGAACTTAGTACGTTTAAAAGTGATCCCATTGATCATATTGATCTGGTCTGTAGGAAAGTCATCAAATAGAACGTTGTTATTATGAAGAAATTCATCAAAGCAAAGCGTAAGGTGTATTTTAAACATTTCAATCGTAATGTTTATTTTTAAATTTCTGTGATTACTATGATTTAGGTTAATAGATATAGAAAGATTTTAGAATTAAATATAATTTAAATCATTCGCTATTATTAGTAGCTGTGATTTTGAACTTTATATGTATTGCAAAACAATGTGTTTGAAATTTGTTTACGGTTACTAGGAACCACAGTGTTTTGTATATCAATACAGAACAAATCACGTATAAATAGAAGGATGGACATACATTTATTCATTTGATAAAAACGTTTTAATCATAGTTCCGGCAAATTCTTCACATAAAGGTAAATTATATTTTCATTTTACTTCATTTTAAGAATTTATATTTCATTTCAGGAGAATCTTAAGAAAAGCTATACATTTATACTATACATGTTATTATTACCATATTAAGATTTCTCAAAAGATACAACGGAAAATTGCAAATGCATTTAAATCAATATAATGCTATTAAAAATGAAACTGGACATTTTTATACCTAAACTATCATTTTGAATTTTTCAAAGTTTACTCTCATCACTGAACACATATGAAAAACAGTTTAGGTACAATGATATTTAACATCTGATGGATACAGATTTTTCTTTAAGCTAAATTGACATAGATAATAGCTCTAACGACAATTTAGCGGGTCTTTTACTGTTAGAAGATAAAATAAAAACAATAAACAATTGCATTGGTCGATATGTCAGTGTCGTCTGAATTCCCCAGGAAGATAAAGGGAAAAGGCAACCTTTTTTCACGGAGTTACACTTTTCATATTTTACGGAGAAGGGGAAGCAAACAGGAATAAAGACCTCTTTAGAAATTAATGTACATTATAGATACATTTTTAGAATTCAGTTCACAACTGCCCGTTAGTGACACAATTGCATGTAATGGTTACCGGCGAGTTATTTAAATCGATTACTTAACATTAGAATGTTGTGTATTTTACGCTTTAGGAAGAAATTGCTGTTTGAATAAGACGAAGGGTGCCATTGGACCACCTTAACTTTAAATCGAAATCAAAGCATAACCTTTCAAAATGTCAAGTTAATACAACAATATTTATAAATGAAATTAAATGTTAAAATCCTTTCATTGTCAACGTATATTTGTTCTGACCAACAGAGGTTCCCTTAGAAACTTCGTTATAAACAATGCCATAATACCTGTTCCTATTGGAACATATATTCTATACCCTATATTCCGTACGGAACACATTCTTATAAATTATTTCTTCCATTTGAACTTATGAAGGAACTTCTATTTAATGACTTCAACATCCATTCATTCACATAATTAATCCATCGACCTACATTTTGACCGTCGACTTTTTCACATCTGATATAGATCGACACTTGCATTTCAGGTAATTTAATTCATTTAAAGCCAAGGATATAATCAATTCATTAATACCAGGACAAAGGTACGTACTATTTTATGTTATACATTTTGTAAACATTGTAGTAAAATCAAACTAGACATGGTCATAGGTGCTTGAGGACAGGACCCTATGTTGAGCCCCCGTAGTCCCCCTTTATTATCATAGACCCCCGATTTTCTAATATATATCATTTTATTTGTACCATATGTATACCTACTTTAAATATGCATGTTTACCAACATTGTAGAGGGACTACGGGGGATCAACATAGGGTCCTGTCCTCAAGCACCTATGGACGAGGTATCGTACATTTGTAGTAAGAAATACTTACTTTATACATACACCACAGAAAGTTCAACAGCTAATTCCAGATCACAGATAAATATATTACACTTTTCACAAGTCGTTCCCATGATAAAAATATTTAAGATTTTGCTTCCTGTTGTTTCAGAAAGAAATGAAATGCGAAGCATTCTAGGAAATCTATAATTAATCAGGAACGGGCTAGGCCATTTTTTATTTTAAAGAATAATTTTCAATCAGATATATAATGTTTTTGAGAAGGTAAATTCATTTTCTTAGTGTGACTTTCGCAGATGTCGAACTTGAAAAGTTCAATAGTTAATGGACCAGTTTTAACTGTTCTTTTTCATTCCTATTGCCACATAAAGCATTGATTTTCAAGGATTGTTAGAAAACCTACAATTAATCAGAAATGAACAAACAATAATTGTGGAGAAATTACACATCAATGTTTTATACTCGTGGATCTTTTAATCGGAAGACAAATTTTCAGTCACCATGTAATTAGCTATATAAGGTTTACTTTTCCCTTTTTTTAGAAATCATATAAACACTACTTAAAACATATCTTTTCTCCTGGATACATGATAAATTGAATAAACAAACATGTATTTGATTATTCCAAAATGTATTTACAAAGGCGCAATTACCAGTTAACGGTTAGTCGTCCTCCAAAACCGTAACACTACCAGTGTGACTGTCAAACATTTTCGAGAGTCGGAAAACATCAGACCTTCTTAGCTACAATTGAAGCAAGAATGAGATCAAAGATCAAAGTTAAATATATAATTTTCACTGGCGAGACATATAAAAGTTCATGATGTATATTGAATTCAATTCGGGTTTGAACATGTATGAAAATACTCGAAAAAGAAAAACATCAAATATGTGAAACATTTCCGTTTAAAATTAAAGCCCATCCAATGAAATAAAATGGAATTCTCTAAGCGGGTCTGTTTGTAATTTAATTTGTTATATTCCAATCGTAATTTTGTGATGTAAATAGAGGTGCGAATAAGCGAAAGTTAATGTTTTTGGGTTTTTTTTTCTTCTGAAAAGAGAAGCTGAAACGGAGCGAAAGATAAAATCAATAAGAGTATTTATTTTTATAAGACATTTTTTTTTATTCAATAGAATTAATAAGAGCTGGTGACACCTTTCATTTTCTTTCAGATGTAAAAAAAAAAACCCGCAAAATTAAGACATTCTGTTGGATACCGTGAAAATATCTTATTTAAGACCACATCTTCGGAGGAATAAAGATCAATTGGCGATTGTGTAGTTAATTCATTGAGTTCAGAAGGGTCAATGACCCATGCATGGTTTAAATGGTAGTTTACCATACGGAAAGACCATAGTAATTAACACATACAATAAGACAAATTAACATTCGATCTGACAATCATTTGTAGATCAATGCAAATGTATTGAAAAATTATTCATTTAAGTTTACAAATATTAATTTCTGGCGTGAACGGAAAATACTACATAAAATTATTCGACCATACATCCATCATATCGATGATATTTTATTTTATAAATTAACTGCTTACAAAGCTTTGAATTTTTGAAATAATAAGGCTTTTCTACCTCAGGAATAGATTACCTTAGCTGTATTTGGCAAAACTTTTAGGAATTTTTGGTCCTCAATGCTCTTCAACTTCGTACTTTATTTGGCCTTTTTAACTTTTTTTTTATTCGAGCGTCACTGATGAGTCTTTTGTAGACGAAACGCGCGTCTAGCGCAAATACAAAATTTCAATCCTGGTATCTATGATGAGTTTATTATAAATTACATTTAAATGAAAGTCAGACGACGAATAAAGTTAAAATGAATACACTTTATTTCTTTAAATCAAACATGTTTTTCATTATTTTTATAGTATATTAACGTTCAGCTAGATTCAAAACAAACAATAAAGAGCAATTAAAAAGACCGAAACAGCCGTACACACGTCCCATTATCTATGACATAATCTGTATTGACAAAATTTCATTCGTTACGATATACAAACATAAGGAGATGTGGTATGATTGCTAATAAGAGAAATTTCCACGGCACTGAAGTCCATGTTGCGCTGTACGAAAGTTTTGTTTTTGTATTGTATGAAATTAAAGACAAAATTCATCTAAAAATTTAACAACAGCTTGAAAAATAACTCAATGATTTTATATATAAATTGAAACATTTCTAACATTTATCTAAAATGTATTGTACATGTGTACTTCCAAGGTATAAATTGAACCTGCTCGTTCAAACAATGCATATCCTTGTTTCTTGAAATACCATGTAGTGCTTTCCGACATTTATAGTTTAGTAACAATTCCATATAACTTGTTATGAGTAGGTCTATTCTGGGATATGATATTTACAGGTTTATTGTAAGCACATTTCGATACATTTCAAACATATAACGCTTTCTGAGGTCTTCGGTCTGAGTACAGATAGGGAATAACAAAATTAATAAACTTCCAAAAATAAAATCTCAATATATAAACCGCCGATAAACATAAACTCAAACCCTTTGAATGAATTACTGTATAAGTAAAAATCGATATAGAGTTCTGTATAGTAATGTCTTATATTATCTTTATTTTAGTTGTTGCAGAAATGATAGTGACGGCAAAAGAGAAGACAGCACTTTGTGCATGTGGGACAGTCTTAATTATCCTATGCACCATACATGTGATTCCTTCATTACGAAATAATAACGAATCACAATTAAACGAAAAATGCCACACAGCAGACTTACGAAAGAGAGATGATGTTTCACAGATACCACGCCATATTCATCAAATTTATTTTGACATTAACCCAAAGGGTCATGCACATCTACAGAAATACCAATTTGCTCAACAGACCTGGTTTAAATTATGTCCTGACTTCAAATATACTCTCTGGAACCAATCTATGGTTGATGATTTAATCAAAGAACATTACCCAGGTCTTTTCAAATTATACTCTAATCTTCCCGCATGGATTAGTAAAATCAACGTTGGGAAATTCACGATTATTCATCATTTTGGTGGAATTTATGCTGACAATGATATTGAATGTCTTCAAAATGTAAACTCGCTTCTTCTCAACGTCTACGATCAAAATCACCAAGCTATTTTCAAAAGTGGCGATAATTTCGATTTATTTGCAATTGACTTCTTTGCCGCAACCGCCAATCACCCGCTTCTAGCACATGTCATAGCTGGTTTGCCTCATGCAAAAAGAAAGTACTTGCTTCCATATTTGAATAATATGCTCACTACTGGGACAGCTTATTTCAATATACGTTTCAAAAGTTTCGAAAACAAATGTGGGATATCAGCCTTACCTTATAATAATGAATATATTGTACATCACCGAGCGTCATCATGGCACAGCTGGGACGGTAAAATTATATATATTGTATGGTTTAAGCGCGGAGTCCTTATGAAAACAATGTCTTTACTCATTTTTGCTATTATTGTGTACATACTTTATAGGAACAGGAATTCAAGTAAAAGAATCTTGATAAGACAGCAATAATATAGGAAATTAATAAAAAAAATAAACCAATTATATTGACAGTTTTTCTACCAGAAAGGAATATTGATTTAATGAACACTAGAAAGAAATATTGATTAAGTGAATACTGAACACAAGAAAGCTGCACTCGTATCGTTGTTCTTAATCCTGATAGTTGTAGGTGGTTTTCAAAGACTTAAACTTTTAAGGAAAAACCAAGAAAGTCCTTGGCGTCGACAAAACAGTATATACCAGCTGATGTTTTGCCAATAACTGTTAACCAAATTTCGAGAGAGTAATCTTGTGGATTACATAATCCATGGCAGCCCATGTATACAAACAATTACAAATGTAGCTATTCATTGCTTGAAAATGCAAATAACAAAAGCAAACATTTAGAACAATTAAAGAGTATAATTGTTCATTCATTTGAGTAATTATCTGCTTTCTTAATTTTCTTTAGCAACAAATTTATCAACAGAACAGATTCCAAACCCTAAAACCTGACCGAAATATGACCAAACTTCAAACTATTTGCAACAGAATGTACGTCAAGTTTTTCTAGCTGATTTTTTTGTACTGTTGAACATATAAAAAACCGAGAAAGTTAGAAAGAAGGGAATTGTTAATATTGGGTGAAAACCTTAGATTTTGATGAAAAATCGCTGAAACTAGAAAGTCAATAGATCTTATTACGACAACATTAGTGAATCTTTATGGTTATTTAATGAACATTGTCGTTGGGTTCAATGTTCGATGGACACAATGACCAATTTTTTTTTGTCAAAATGCAGTTTTTGTGGAGATAGTGTTCGTAGTGAAAAACATAACATACTGATACGAATTCACATAATGTGAATAGAATGCAATACACATTTTACTGTTCTTTAACAGTCCTATATATCGTAACGTAATAAGCCGTCCCGCGGTGCACTAATTTCACATTCATTTGTACTGGTTAATCACTTTAAACAATATGTAGAACTTACGTTTAAAAATGATTCCTTTGATCATATTGATCTGGTCAAAATGTAGGAAAGTCATATAATAGAACATTGTTTAGTAAAACAAATCATTATGTAAAAATTAATCAAGGTAAAGCGTAAACGTGTATTTTAAATATTTCAATTTTGATGGATTTTTTTGTCAAATTTCTGATTACTTTGGTTTATGTCACCCTAGAAATAAGTATAATTTGAATTACTCTCTATTATTAGTAGCTGTGGTTTTAAATTTTATA